ACGACGACAAGCGAAGAGTCCCACGCGCGTACACTACGAGGTGAGAATCAGAGATCGATTTCTATGGTCATGTGCTCGTCGAACAATCCAAACTCAGAGTAGCGGCTAGGAGATCGATCACTCACACTCACCGACGCCTCGTACGCTCCACACTGCTAAATACACTCGCACTGACGATGTCACCTCGAGTGGTGACGAAACGTTTGCAGTCAACCTGCCGAGCTCAGCGAACAATCAGCCAATCAATCTCTAAATTTCTTGATTACCTCTGAAATGTCCAGCTCTTGCTCCTCCGCATCACCGCGATCCAGAGTCTCAAGTACTCGTCTGGCTTTGTCGCCAGTAGCGAGTCTGAACATAGCAAGTTGGTAAGGCATCATATAGGAATCCAACTGAGCCAGCGTGACGAAACCCGTCCACTTCGTTTTCCACATTCTCCAGTTGTCAGGCAGCGTGCTTTCTGTCATTTGTAGAGCAGTCGGCTAACATGTATTGATGATGATGATGATGATGATGATGATGATGATGATGATGACTATGATGATGATGAAATGGAATAGAGTGTGGTCCAATCGTTTCTTAAAAAGCATTAATGTGGAGGCGAAACTTACTTGAGGAGGAAGGGCGTTCCGGTTTTTGGATCCCCGAAGGGAGAAAATGTTTTGTCGATAAGCAATCCGGCCGTGTTGTGCAGTCAATTAGAGTCGGTGACCTCTCAGGTTGGTATTGTGGCTGAATTGCAACAGACCGCGACAGGCGTGGTTGGGATTCGTCAGTATTTGGTATACTATAGTAAGGTCTCCTCGTAGGCACCGGTACTCCCTTATGTATACACGTATGACTTACAGTCTGCATTGGTAGGTGAGGTGAAACAGTCCTTTTACGATTTTCCTCGCACTAAGTTGTGGTGCTTCCAGCGCAGCAACATGGTGTGTGCGTCATGATCGCCAGGCCTGGATCGCGTATTCCACGTGGGGTCTGACGTAAGCATACAGCATTTGTGGAAAGATTGGTGGCTCCAACTTCCCGAACGCCCTTCGTAGGAGGCCAAGCTGCTGACTGGCTTCTCACGATGTAGTCTGTGTGCACCGTCGTTACAACCCGGCGTTGTCATCTTCCAATACCAAGTGTGACAGCGTCATTCTCGATAATCTAGCATTCGCAGCGCGTTAACTAACATTGACAGTCTCGCACCCGTCTCTATCAATGTGGCTGCATGATGTATGAATTGAGCAACTACCACTAGTTACCTGCTTTCAGGGAAAATGAGACTGGCAACAGCCGCAAATCCCGCAGTGGCGCTTCCTGGATTCGCAAAGCCTCATCATCCTAGTTTAACTATGATGTCGTTCACGAAACCGAGCTACTTCATTTACCTTCTCGGTTTCTAGCTGCGACATGCGGATGTCTAGGAATCACTAGATTGTTGGTCCATCCAACATGAACCCTCGTGGAGGTCGAAACCTTGGCACGTTCGCAAATGTGATGTAAACGACTGTATCATGGCTGCTGCGAACAGCCAAAGTAATAAACTGGTTACTTTTGGATGTGTACAGCTCACTGTCCTGTGTGCACAGAACAGAATGATTTCCCGGTGCATCAGCCATCTCATGTTAACTACGACTTCCGCCTTGGTCGAGGATATTCAGTTTGCTGGCTAGTCTAATGCAGAGGAAACGCTAGTTCGGGGGAAAATAGTAGTTAGTACCATTACCGAACAATTTTCTCTGTTGTCTTTGCACGATTTCCCCAACAGATGTTTTGTCCTTATTCATTGGGTAAAATAAGATTTTTCTTCTGCTTTGTCTCCTGGCAACTTGTTGAACAGCCACTTTGGAATATGGTTAAGTTGAATTCATGCGATTCAACTCGACTAGTCAAGGACGTAGTTTATGCACCCATGAAGAGGGAGCATTCATCAAGTTTAGAACTTGATCTTGATTCTCAACATACTTTAGTTTTAGTCCCACGACATAATTCTTCGTGAATGAAAATATTAGCTAGCTACAAGTTGCTGTCCCCATCTAGCAGTAAAGCGCGATGTTTAGTGAGCGCAGCAAAACTCGCGTGTTGGGCCCCAGCAATTTTCCTAGACTGCAAAAGTATTAAACTTTTTAAAACAGTGAGCTATAGCACGGCAAGAGTCAGTTTTAGTACGATAATACTAGAAACAGTTCCAGTTAGCTGCATCATGACCCCATTTTAAGTTGTGTTTCGTAGCATCTTCAAAGATGTGCGACAGTCAGCAATCGATTTTCACAAAGAATGCCCATGCGGATGTTAATTTCCACGTGGTCAGGCGGGGGCCAAGAGCCGTCGTTTGTCAGCTACGTGGCTACCAACTTACCATGTAGGTTAAGTTGAAGATACAACTAAAGTAAGGAGGCAATTGCCTCGTTTAAGCACACACCCAGTTCGCTACCAGAATTTGGAATAATGTCGAAAGGATGTTGCGGGCACCCAAGCAAAGAAAACAACTAGCCAACAGATATGAGTGAATAGTGAGAGCAAGTGTTACAGGTTAGAAGGCTTACAATGTATCAGGTTCCATGTAAGCTCACTCCGGCTTATTCGTAATCGAGTAGGCAGGGTCTGTGTAACAGGTGACAGTTTTTGTTCTCTGGTGCTTATCCAATTCAAAATTTTATTAAGATAGTAGTGAAGGTGAAAGATTTCCACCTGTGAAACGGTTTCACCTTAACAATCGCATATTCCTGGATTACAATTTGCCAAAGCACACAAATTCCTAGACGACCTGCTTGCAACGTGTGCCCGATAGAAGGGAACACCTACGTTCATGGTCATATCCTATAATCTGTTTACTATTCCATTTTATTATTTTAATTTTGTGCGCCATTATCGTTCCATGATAAAATTGCGGCTTGCCATTTAGTAACTCGATCTACCACGGTTTAGGAGCATAAGCTATAGACTAGACCAAATCAATCGGATGCCAACCGGATGTAACAGGCTAACCACTGATTCCAGTCAGCAAAGTTGGTTGGATGCATACAGTCATGGTCGTAATAAGTTCGACATTGATCTACAGTGAGAAAAACTACGGAGCTTCAGCCCAGTTTAGTCAATCAATTCATTCGACCGAGCGGAGTCAATGGGAAAGAAAGACAAGCACCACTTACACTTCTGTGGAATGCAGCTAATTACTGTTCCGGTAGGTGACAGCTAGGCTGTTTAATAAATCGGGACAGTGCTGAGTTTTGGAGTATCCATCACAGGTTTGAACTGTGAAATGCAACTGTTATCGTAACCGTAGCTTTGCATGGAGTAGATGTCACTCATTCCGAATAATGAAAGTGTGTATGAAGTGGAGACCCCCGGTGTTAGTTCCTTCCAATGCGGCAGTTCGCGATCAGCTTAGAAACAGTTCGGATTCAGACGGCAGAGTTGCGGAGCTCCGTCTATATCCACGCGATGAACCATAACAAGGACAAAACAGATCGTGAATTTTGGTGTGACACGCTAGTAACACCGAAGTGGGTCGATATTATGCAACGAGTAGCTTGTGTCTAACCACTACCAGATGATTGTTCCGTACTAGAACCCAACTCGGAGTTGATGCTCACGATGACTGCACGAAATGCGAGGCCGCTGTAGAGACGTTGCTTTTATGCAGTAAATAAACAAATATGTTAGTTTCTCCCTCTAACAAGCGATCGCGCCCATAAAAGGGTACAAATCCAATATTAACGTGATATACATCTTCATCCATGTGGACATTCAATGGAAAGGTTGAACCACTGCAGTCAATAATATATGTATTCAACAATCCGATAAGTCATCTTTCGGCATCCTTCGACGGCAGATTTAGTTTCCACGTCAATTTGTGTGGTTGAAAAACAGGGTCACCCTCCGAATCAGGGCGAGGAATTTGATTTAGCCCCCACCCTAATTTGTTCTGTCCTCACCTAAGACCGCATGGTACTCTCTAGTGGATGTAACTAATCGTGTTAATAATAATGGTGGAGAAAATACCTATTATTAAGTAGCTAAAACCGCGCAGATTGAATAGAACACTTAAACCGGAGAAAACCTATTTGTCTATGGGTTGGAAGTGTAATCTATTCAGGAGGTAGAAACGAATGAGTCTGTGGGAACCATTTGCCTTGGATTTCTCGTGTTAAGTATCTACATGCTGTGTATGCAAACGAAGATGCACGAATAATAGCGTTAGAAGGCATAATTAGTAACTCAATTTGCTTCACATTTTACTCCCATGTAGACATGGCAGTATGAAAAGCTAAGTGTTGCCTGTTATTCCAATTGGATTGCAACCCAACTGCTTAGCTCAACGGACAACTCAATTACTGGTCAGTATCGTTGTTAGGCGTAGTTGATGACTGTGTACTGCTGAACACGATGATATGGGTCCCTGCATTGCGGCCGGCCGGTCCGCCATGTCAATTCAAATGCTACCTTTATAATGTGGATATCAGTGTAGTACCCAATTATTTTTCAACGTGTAGAATAGCGCAGAAAATTAGTGTGACATCAGGATGATGTCAGTATACTCAAGGTGACTTATAAGAAACTATCTACTGAATGTCCGTCAACTTACTAGGACCGGAAATCCTTGAAGTGACAACCAAAGCATATGCTTTTAATTTCGCATATTTTCCTGCTTTATCTTCTGAACCTAATTAAAATCCTTAGGTATTAAGTGTCCGATAAGAAAATCGCTTCCACTGCTTCTCACTAAACTAGTTGGCCGGTGGAGCGGACTCATTGATTTAGGTTTTACCACACAGATCTGTTAACAGATTGTCTTCTGTTTTATGAAAGTATTTAGAAAATCTGTTGGAAAGTTGCTTGGTCACAATTCTGTCACCGTTTTTGTCTCGCGAACGAGTGGTTTCTGATTATGTGACTCAAGACATCGTAGTACAGTCTTTTCAGTGTTATCAATATTCTGGGCATGAAGGGAGGGCTTGTAGTACAATTAAACACAGTGCACCCAGTCCTTAACATATGAACCGGCGCAGATCTGTACTTTTACGACAACAGAACGCATTCGCCACAAATGATGCCAATCCCCATATTGAACAGAGCACTTATAAATAGTGCGGGGGAGCTGGTGAACATGCGCACCGTGGACAACGCGCCTTGGTTACGTGGCTCCGCCTCAGCCGTCTCAATCGAAGCTAGTATACAGGAAAAGTGGGAGCTAACTCGACGTCTGTTCTTGGTGGACAATGTGGTAGGCCGGACCGGTGTGGATGTTATCCGTAAGTATCACTACATGCCTTTTTCCATTATTTTGCGACTGAAATGCATGTCCTATTTGAGTCGGATACTTCTATTGACTGAATAAGAAGGGAGCGCTCTCAAATGCTCCGTTTATGAACATGACGACTGTCAGTTTTTGACAACCGTTGTCTGCGAAGGATCGCTTGTGTGTGCTGGCAACATCACATAAGTAATAGGTTTTGTGAACGAGTACTTGGAGCGAACAGCCCCAGCCTTCAAAATGTTATTCTCCGACACCGCAGGCGTGGGCTCAGCCACTTACTACGGTTGAAATGTTAACACCTTCCCCGGCGAGCGTTGATTGCACTTCCCGAATCTGACTGGAAAATGTATCGCTGTGGACAACCAATGACGTGGAAAAGGAGCATGAAGAAAGCAGCCTCAGGTTTGGTTTTGGTCGGGTCACATGACTCGGAAACCCTGTGGTTGTAAACGTTTGATGTGCTGGCACGTGACAAACATCAGTGTCGGCATTGTTGTTGTGCCCTTTTATCTGATGCTTAATGTCAATCTCTCTTTCTCTTCTCTCTCTCTCTCCCTCTCTCTCTCTCTCTATATATATATATATATATATATATATATATATATATATATATATATATGCACGAATTCGATCTGAAGGCGAACATTCGGTAGTTCAGCTTCAACCTCGATTCCAAACGATCAGTGATATACCAGCTCAGTGGAATGACTGCAGTGTTGCGGTGTTACTCAATCAGCATTATATATAAATAAATAAATATATATATATATTTGTATATAATGCTGATTGAGTAACACCGCAACACTGCAGTCATTCCACTGAGCTGGTATATCACTGATCGTTTGGAATCGAGGTTGAAGCTGAACTACCGAATGTTCGCCTTCAGATCGAATTCGTGCAAAGACGATCACTTGTGCAGTCCAATAGATCAGCGACTAACCTATCAACTGTGGTGGATAAGTGGGAAGTTGCTGCAAGTTAACACATTGTTTCTGTCTAATACAGCACTCCTCAGGAATTCGTGGTATTCGGTCCCCCAAGAACCCACGTCCCCTTTGCACAGGAGTGGTGCCAAAATACTTAGTGAATACCGAATATAGTTTCGATTGTCACAGGCTTATTTTGCAGCAAATCTTAATTGTTTTAACTAGACAGAGAGCTGTGTCGCGAATAGGTACACTTTTTGTGCTATTCACTCTGCTCGATCACTCTGCTCTCTGTTATGGCTCTTAAAAAGAAGAATTGAGTTTGGTGCAAGATACTTGGATCTCGTAGTGGTCTGGCTAAGGCATCGCTCACTAACTTGTCAGGTACCGTAGACAGCACTTGGTTTAGCGGCAATGAACTAACTTTGACTTGTAATGAAACCAGTGTCGGACAACTCGTCGTGCTGGAGTTGCGACACCGTGCTTCGAAAGGATTTAGTATGGTATAGTAGCCAAACTCCATTAACAGAATCGTGCGTAAAACCGAATTCCAATCACTGTCACTAGCGTCACTGACGTAGAATCCTGAGAACAAGAGACGCTGGGTTCAAACCACGATTTGGTTACGCAAGTCTTAAGAATTGTTGGGAGTGAGAAACTCGAATAAGAACAATGGAACAATGGTTTTAAACGCGTGAAAAATACTAAAGTTTAACAGGTCCGGTAAGATGACCATGGTGAAGATTGCAAATATGGAAACATTATGAATAAAAGTATGTTTACACGGGTGGACTCACCGCTGCATAAGTATTATAAAGTGTAAATCCACTGTAAGTCCATAAGGAATGACGACAAATAGGACGTTGGTAAAATCGTGCCTCCCCCTGTTGAACACATGCAGGAGGTGAATAAAGTGTAACGTACTACGGGAGTTGACCGCCAGTTGCTCGTGTTTAGCCATACGCACTGGGTTACGTGAGATGGTGCAGAGAAATGCGTGCGCGATCAACTCAGGTTCATACACTCGTTGTTTCACCTTATTTGTGACTTTACACTGCTTTAAATTCACGCTAACTACACACGTGCCTTCAGGCGTGTTACGAATGAAAGGTTATTATGGGTTGCTGTCAGCGAAAAGTCTAGTAGAGAAAACTATGCATATGGGTAGAACTATTTAGTTAAATTTACCAGCAGTTTCTCTATTGACAAGGTCATGGTTTTTAAAAAGTATGCCATGACAGTGAGACCAAGCATACTGTAGCATAACGACTGCGCAATGAATATTTATCGACGCGACAACAGTCCACCACAGGGGTCAACGACACTTTTTTCCATGCGGGGCGGATAAGTGACAACATGTAATGCGCGGCCGCATGATCATTCTGAACAATGTTAACAAGTTGGAAGGAGAACTCAGAGCAGTAGAAACAGAAAAAGGAGACATTCAGTATCCACTTTTCTTAGTAGCTATAATAAATGGTGAAATAAAAAAGATCTGAACAAAAAATGAAACAGAATTGCAAACAACAAAACGTTCATGGAATAATCAGAAAAGCAAAGTGTTTGTTGTCCTTTGTGGGGCAACAGCTCAATATATGTACACCTATACTTCACAGATACCTTCTTTAACGGAAAAATTCACGTAATAAAGATTGCGGTTATACATGGTTGGCGGCATCCGGTTTCGCACTTGTCTGTCACTGTGGCCAGCCACAGGACGCCTGCGCCTACACAGGGACCATGGATGGCTTGCGCTGTACCACCCACAGCTCCATCCACATACCCCATATCCAGTGTAAACCCGAAGGAATAAGACCGGAAGGCATGTGGATGGGTGCCACGTTTCATTAACGGAGCCGACCCACAATCCTTCACAGGCAAACACAAGCACGTTGTATTTGGGAATCAAGCGCTGTGCACTGAGTGCATGTAACCACTATTCGAGCCTAGCACAGCCACAAGAACCGTGCACCCCGTCCCCTCCAGCAACGACCAACTGTCTCCAGGAGCCAGTTTGAATGAGATATTGGATAATAGACTGGTAGGCTCCTCGTCAACATGTACATCAAGTGCAGCCATCACAGGGATATCAAACAACAGCCAATCACTTGAAACGACAAAATGAAATAAAATAAATCCGATAATACATACCGATAAGGCAGCTTAACACTTCACCAAATGGGCGTATCAAATGAATTGTTCACAAACGAATCCGCGCTAAGTTAAAGAGGTCAGAAGATATATTTTTAAAAAATGTTTCAAACCGAAAGTGTTATCGAAATTAACTACAATTAGCTTCAGGGACGTGTGCAAGTTTATGGAACATAGTGCAGTTAGACATCAAGATAAGAAAGATAAGCATTAGGACAATATTGCAAACCCACCACCTGAAATAAAGACTTAACATGCAAGCAAGCGGTTAGTAAATCGAATGCAGCGTGCCTACAATTGCTGCGCCGGTTCTGCCTACGTTCTCTGCAGGACCTGTCGTCGCCTCGGTAGTGGTCCCGAGTGACCTCGCTTATGGCTCACTAGGTCTGTCTGACTCAGGCACTCGCGACCGCATGTCCTACAGCACCATGCACTCGATGTCAATGAAGTACACCCCATCGGTGCTTGCCACTTCCGCATTTGCCGCTTCTTCTTTGCATGTATGAGGTCTTTCTCCCGCACTTCGGCAACTACATTCGTGATAAGATCGCGCCATGCACACCGATCAACCGTCTTCGATTCCCATGATATGAAATCAAGATTAGAAGGTGAGGCTCACCTCGCTCATGTCCTGGTAACGTAACTTTGCTTTCCCCACATGCCGCTTCCCAATACTCAGCTGACCAGATAATAGTTGTTTTGGTATCCGCGTCGAATCCATACGGCTTACATAACCGAGCCATTTCATAGCTCTCAGCAAAAACGTGCAGTCCAGTACATACATTCCACTTCGACGCAACACCTCCTTGTCCGCAACTCTGTCGCCCCAAACGCTGCGCAAATCCGTCACAAACACAGTGGATGGAACCGCTCGAGATATCGTACATACTGCCGGTATATCGTGCACGTTTCACTGTCGTATAGAAGAACGTACAGCACCATGAAGTTGTACACCATCAGCTTCGTGCCAATGGTAATCTGATGGTTGTTCCACACTCGGTACTCTAACTTCCCAAATACCGCCACTGCCTTCGAGACGCGGCTACGAAGCTCACTGTGTAGCTGCTGGTTAGTCGATATCACATTCCCAAGCGGGAGGTGGTTTCCAATACTTCAGCACCAATGCTGCTTTTCGGTACCATTGTAGAATACACCTCGGTGAAGGCTGAAAGAGACAAACAGTTTTACTAGTGTTGATAGTGAGCCCGATTTTGGCCGCTGTCGAATCCAGAGCACTAGTCATGTGCTGCAACTCATCCGCGCTGTGTGTAAGCAACGCTCACTCGCCAGCAACCAGTAACATACGGATAGTTGTCTCACAGACTAGGGTTCTCACACCGAAATGATGGATTTTCAGCAACCCATCATCAATACCGTGCTCCACACGAACACCGTAAGCACAAGCCGCATCAAAATCACAGGACATCATTGCATGAGGATATATATTAAACAGGGCAGGAGTTAAGACACTACCTTGCTTCACACCAGAAATAAATGCAAAGTCGATTAACAATGAACAATGAATTTATACGGGTTAAGAAGCGTTGATTTACAAGTCCCGTTGGATAGTTGGTGGGGATATCAACATAACATCCGTGGTCTCTCCACTCAGCTGCACCCACGCTCGCATACCGTTGTGCAGATATTCAATTAAACTTACAAACTTACGCGGGCAACCAAACTTACCCAACACCAGCCACAATGCCTCGCGGTTCACCGTATCAAATGCCTTGGTGAAATCAACAAAAAGCGAGTACAATGGCTGGTGTCGTTCTCTGCACTTCTCTTGCAACTGACGAGCCGCAAACACCGTATCTATAGTGCTGCGACCCCAGCGGAATCCACACTGCTCCTCCGCCACGTTAGGTTCCACAACCTGACTGACGAGACGGTTGCGCAGGAATCGGGCAATCACATT